AATGTTACGTAACAATGGAATTGTTAAGAGAAAGCGACGTGCAATACGCAGATGCAGTTTTTTTCGTTTTTGCGGGAAATCGAACATATTTTTAGACCCATCTAAAAATTCTCTAATTAGTCTGGAAACAAGGGGACCCAATTCTTGCATTCTGTGAAAACGGGTAAGGTTGACTGTAACGTAATCTTTATCTTAGTCATCGTTACTTTTGCCCGAGCAACGCCGGGCCCACCTGCTAGTTCTTTTTATCTCTTTATTTAATTAACTAAAGCACTACTTTCGGCTGTAACTGGAATTAAAGGATAGATTATGGCGTCCGTATTTCGCTCGAGCGGAAAGCGTTTCTAAACTATGATGTAGCGACGTGTAGCAACAGCTGCTCGTGACGTCATTTTCGCTACACACTCGCTGCATAAAGAAACGCGGCCCTTGTTGGATGCGTGTTCAAACGTTTGAGACGATCCTCGTAAACAGACCCAAGCACCGAAGATGAAATTTCATCACAGTAGTCCAAGATTCGTTTCTTCGGATATTTCTTGTGGTGAAAATCCGTAATGTAATCAGTGTCGTAACTAGGGCGGTGTCCAGGCACAGGGCGCAGACCCTGGGAACTCAGAAATGACCTGGACCAAGTTTTGGGGCGTAGTTACAGAAGCTCTCACCGGGCGCATAAAAGGCTAGTTACAGCGCTGAATGTAACACAACTGAAGAAGCCAATGTTGGATTATTGTATATATCGATGCATACGGCTATGCCAGACCAGAGTCAAGTCATAACTGCAGAACAATCAATTAATGTGTTTACTGTTCGTGTACGTATTTGTCAGGGGCGGATCTACATAGGAACTAATAGGGCTTAAGCTCTGAACCCCCAGTGTCAAGGACCCACAAAAATTGATTATCATCATAAATTTTTAATACTTTTTCATTAACAATGAGCACTTACCGATATAAAGTTTGTCATTCAACACCATTTCATAAATAAATATATTGCAATTCTGATTTTGATGTTATTAAGAATAAGAATCTTTAAATTGGGGTTTAAAATTCAATCTAACAAAAAAATGGCGCCCCATTGGATCAATAAGCCCTAAGCCCCGAAAAACCTAGATCCGCTCCTGATTCGTGTATAAGAATTTCCTGATTACATGACACGTGTGTAGTATTATTGTAGCCTTCTGAAGTGTGATATATGTGCTGTTGTGATGCCCTAATGTTTCAAGACTTGTGTAGTGTGTTATGACATCCATACAAGAAAGGACTATACAGTTGACCCCCTATAACACTGTTGATAATTCCGTTTTATATAAATTCCATGCTGTACGAGTCACTTAAATTTTACTGTTATAGGGGGGTCGACTGTATAGTCCACGGACGCTTATTTCACGGAAGTGTTTATTTTCGCCCAGTATATGTATTATCTATGTTATGGCTGTTTGATACAGATGTCTATCATTTGTGATTTTATTGAATGGAGCTCTGCATAAGCCAGAAAGCGTTTATAATCAATTCCGTTGTCGTGACGAATCCGGAATTTCGATTTTTGGGATAGATAATCGAGGTTAAAATATATCCTGTAAAAATCTATGGGCCAATTGCTAGCCTTTAAGCTGGTTGCGCGCTACTACGTCTCAATCAAGTTTCCTATTGCCATCAATTTACATTGCACGGCAGTTTTTTTTTTAATCTTTATGACAGGCGTTTAACATGAACGGCCTGCAGCCGCACATTTGGGTAGTTTAAACTGATTTAGACAGAGCATGTCACCACATTTGTGTTTTCTACTGCCCAATTCTTACAGATTTGATATTTGAATTATATTTCTCAACTGAAAATTTACAGCACCATAATCTTCACAAAACTGGATGTTGCATCTTTCTTTAGGCATATAATGCTCTTTCTCATTTACTTCAAAAAATTTTTATTGCCTAAATATTATTACCTACTGTATGTGATCTACTTACGATGAAGCTCTGTTTGATGAGAACAATCTTGTTTATTTTCATTATTTTCATGTTCATCTGAAAAATAAAACAGTTATTAACAAATTTGGATTTGTGCATCATCGATCCATCATCTAAAAAACTCTCACGGTTCAGTTGCATGCTCCACATTAATAAAACGTTGCACCAAGCCCTTCAAGTTACTAAATCGAATTTTAATTTATAAGCATTTAAACAGTTTAAACACGAGGAAAATAATTTTGTAAAATTAGTATAAGAATAAAATTTCTGTTTTACTCTTATATTCATATATTTTTTATGAATGTTCAGTTTTGTGCGTAGACAAGTGTTGAAGAATCCGCAATCAAGTACTTGATCACGGATTTGAACGTATAATAAACCCTCGATTTTAACGGACTTATTGGGGAAAGGGAATACAGTATCTGCTATTGCCGGAAAATCCGTACTTGTTCCAACCTTTTACCATTCGTGAATTTATAAAGGTTTTAAATTTCTTCCTATAGAACAAATTTTTATCCGTTATATCGAGAGATCACTATATTAGGATTTTATAAATATATAAATTAATTAAAAAAAAAACAATATTTGATAGATTTCGAAGTTTTATACGTAGTGTTAAAGCGGGGTCCTAAAGCTTTCGTGAAGTCATTAAGGCTACTAATTATGAACCTGATAGAAACATCATAATAAAGAACAGCATTAAACCAAATATTTGTTTCCATTATAAGCATTTTTTCTTTTTTTTAATTACATAAATATTTGACCCGCAATTTGAAGATAGTAAATTTCGAATTTTGACCTCCTTCGGACACCTTTAGGCATACTCTATACCGCTGGTATAGAGTATGCCTAAAATATTTGAAGAATGAGAGTATAAACAGATGGTTATTAATAGAAATATTTCATGACTTGATTCATCTACTGTTTGATATTTTTAATAGGAAAAAAATATATAAACATGAGTTTCAATTCACCAAAAATTTTTTACTTTATTCTTAATAAGTTAAAAGATCTAAATTATGTTGTTTTAGATATCATCTTTACCTCACGTTAAATATTTTCTTATCGTAAAAATAATTATTAATATATGTTTATCCCTGTGTATATAATTAGCGGATTAACGAAATTAAAGAATAATTAACGTATTACTAATAGTATAAAAGTACTTACTTAATTCTAACTTGCATAAATTAATATGTCTGGATGAACTACCTTTTGAAGCTTTCTTGGCATTTTTAACATTATCTTCTGTTCTTATGAAGCCGATAAAACTTGAAATTATTAACAAATAAACTGCAAATGAAATTTTAGACATGATTTGGGAAATTTTCTGTATTGCCCGGTTTTATTGTAAATCTGAAATCTTTAAATCCGCACTTTCTACGTGATGTAGTAGTATGATCAATCAATCACGTTATAAATTTCCCCATAAAAAATCATCATCCAATGAAATAAAATAAATTTTGTAGGCTAAATAATTACTGATAGGCGTTTATATCATAATATGCCACATCTTTTTTTAAACAGTAATAATTTAAAAAATTAAATACCAGTACCACCAAAAATTGATGGTAACAGTTACGTGTAAATTTATTTATTACATTGTTACAGGTCTTCAATATAGTATCGTACCTTGTTTATGACTCACTTTTGTTTATTTTTTATTGTAACAACTGCAGTTGTAGTTATAGAAATTAATTCCCACTATCATCCTTGTTAATCGCAAGAACGAGTTAGATCAATGAAAATTGGGAAAGAATATGAAAACCTTAGTCTCAGGTCCCAATTAACTATACACGAACTTCCGGTCTAAACCGGAATCACGTGATTTCAATTCAAAATTTTTATCTTAATATAGAGAGTGATAAATTATTCTTATGATAATTTAAATTAAAAATTACTGACCAGAATTATACATGGTCACAATAATTTTGTGGATTGCTATCATTTAGTCATTAGTTGTCAAAGAAATAGAGAAACCTGCATAAAGCAAACAGATGGTCTCTACACTTGATTTATTTATTACAGCAATGTTTAATATTTTCTTACCTGGAGTGGTGTCCAATTTCTTTTTTGTATCCAGGCTCCAAGTACCTTTGCATGATTCATGTTTATTGTAATTTCTTTGTAGTAAGATTCCTGTTTTTTTTTTTTTTTTGTTTTTCTTTTTGTCAAAAATTAATTTTATTAGGATCTGCATACCTGAGGAGCGCAGAGATTGCACCTCAAGCACCTGTGCCTATTTATGTCCTATGTTTGTTTAAAGCTAAATTTAAGAAACTTCCTATATTATTATTAAAGTATTAAAACTTATAATCTATTTACTTGACTCAGAAGTTGACATTTATATTTGATATGTTACTTTGATTTTATAAATTTTACTTTGTAAATTTTCAAACAAATTTAACAATGTGTTTCAAAAATTATAAAAAAACATTTACTCATCTTTAAACATATTTCAAATCACAAGAAATATTGAATATTTTTATTTATTTCTATTTTTCAAGACGTGGTAATACTGGCAATATAAGGTTTCCAAAAGAAGAATCTTGTGTGATGAAGTAGCCTACAGAATTAGCATGTGCATGCTGCAAAATTTAATAAAATAATTTAGTAATTTGATAAATATAAAACAGTACAGTCGACCCCCCTATAACGTACGTTCCTATAACGACAATTCCTATAACGTAGCGAAAAAATTGTAGAAACTTTCGTATAACGTACCTCTTATAACGTCGTTTCGCGACAAGATTGATAGAGTCTGGACCAATAGTGGATGAGCAGCCGAACTACTTTCCTCCGACCCTGCGCCACGCTACGGAGCGGCTAAATTGAGTTTGCTATCGTCTGTTTAGTATTATATATAAATTATATATAAATTAGGTACTGTATATATAATTATATATTAACTTAATTTATTGTAACTTTATTATAATTATATATATGCTTTCTGCCGCCTGGCAACACGCTACGGAGATTTTAGGCTAGTAAGTTGAGTTTATTATCGTCTGTACAGTATGTAAATTAGGTACCGTAAGTCTAATACAGCACTAATTTTATACATTTCTTGTGAAAGAAACACTTCTTATTCAACGGCCATAAAAATTATTTATATTAATGATGTCTCCAAAGGTCAAGTTATTTTTATGCGAAAAATTCGTTATTAGAAATCGCGGCCGCCGTTTCATGTGCTGTTCCGCGATGAAAACCAGCTTTAAGCAACGGCGTAGTCGAACGGTACACACTCGGTAAGTAATCCTATAATTTTTTGTTTATAGCGTAGTTTATACGGATTATTCCCAAAAAATTATACGTGTTTTGGAAATGTTGAGTGGAATTAGTCTAGAATCGGTTAATTTTATAGAAGAAAACCTTTCAAACAGCCTTAGTCCGTAAAGTTCCCACCTATCGGGCTGCGATTGGCTCATGTATTTAATCATTCCTACAACGTAATTTTCGGTTAGCGTGGAACGTATCTAAGCGTTATAGGGGGGTCTACTGTACATAAAGTAAATTATATTATTAATATACATTAGGTACTAAAAAATTTATTAACAGTTTAATTATTAATAAGAAAATTATAATCTAAATAAAGAGAAATAATTAACTGTTCAACATGCTGGGATGAATATATAAAAAATGTGAAAATGGAAGATCCCAGGAGGGGCTACAAAAATGTTTGCAAATGTTAATCATATGCACTCTAGTTATTTGGTTAATGTGAGTCACACATTTTTTTATAAAGAGAGATAATTTATGTAATGTTGTTTAAAACTCTTCTATTAGATACATTTTTAAATTCTGATATATTTGTAAAACTCAAATAAAGGATTCGAAAGAGTTATCATAATTTTCTGCATATTATCCAAAGAAAATTGCTAAAACAAAAATAAAAATTCTGTATAATTCTGTATAATTTCATTTATTTGCTTCATTTTTTTTTGACTGTACACTTTACAGCCAAAAAATGAAGCAAATAAATCAAATTAGAAACTAGTCATTGGCTGAAATTTTGTTAGAAAAATAGCAAAAGTAATGCTGTTGTGTGGTATGTTATGCATGATGGGTTATACTCCACCATGAGTTATCTGCATAAAATTGTGCATAATTTCTGCATAATTTTACATTAAAAGAAAATTAACCCCTTCTGAGCCGTGCTCGAGTGTGACTAATCTCTTTGAAACTAATTTTGCAAAAATAATTTTCAAAGAGATTAGTGTTTAATTTTTAATATATACATGTCAATAATCACAATTTTATTCTTACCTGAAGAGCTGCTCTCTGAGATGATGTAAGAGCATGGGCTTCAATAGACATGGTTGATGGCTTTAATAAAATGATTATGGTATATTAAAAGTAATTGTGAAAAAATATTTAAGAAAATAAATCAAGGTACTGTACTTACTGTTGTAGTAGTGGTGGTAGTAGTTCTGGAATAAAATATAATTTGTTTAGGAAAATAATATAATTAAAAACTCCATATCTATTTTCTAGTTTTATAAATAAATTATTATTTTCTACCCATAAGTTCTTGGTTCATTTAATCACTGAAAATATCCAGTTGCAATTTTCCAATACTGACACATTTATATCTAACATAAAGAAAGGATTAAAAATTGTGCAAGAAAAGTTATATTATGTAAGGAATTAAATTTAGTTTTAACTTCACCTCCAAAGACAGTAATTATGCATCAGTGCACCTGGCTTAAAATATATGAGACTGATATTTCATTCCTGGATCATGTGAAAACTAACCACTATACTGCTACTGATATTTTGAATAGCTTGCTTCAAAACCTCAAGCACAAAACAAAATTTTGTTTATTTCAACTCATTTTACACTTCTTATTAACAAAATAACTAAATTTGAAAGTGAGAAGCTATAACTGTCAGAAGCATGGAAATAATAAAAGACATTGATCAGAATCTGCATTCCGTCAAAGACATAGGAACTTTTATTTGAAATTTAAGTCATTTATGGAAATTAATCCCGATTTAAAAGAGATTAAAGACATCAATGTTAGTCTGAATGCAAATGATCCGATGCATTTGATGATGTCAAATAAAAAACATACAGTACTGAAACATGCTGTTACTATTAGTGTTTGTGTTGAGTGGTCATAATTTAGTTGTTATAGTGATATTTATTGGAGAAAGATTTTCAGCTAAAACTTTTATTCTAGTTTAAAAAAATAAAAGAAATCTGTGTTGAAACTAGTGCTTGACTTAAAATGATTTTAAAAAAAATTGTAATAAATTATTTTTAATCACATATACATAGTAATTCAAAAATGATGGATAAAACTTATGGGATATGGGAATAATTCAATTTACAATAAAAAAAATGTTAATATAGTCTTGTCTGATTCTCAAAGATAACAGAATTACAGAAAAAAATTAGTTTACTATTTCAAACAACTAATTACAACTAATATAAACTACCATAGTTCACATTTTATTAGTTTAGAAATATAAAAAAAAAACACACCTTTAACAATCTGGCAAATAAAATTTACTAAATTAAAAATGTTTTTGATCATTTTAACCAATCTTCTTCAGTTAACTCATAATAGAACAGTAACATAGAAAGTAAATATGAAATGAGATTTGAAATAAATACATAAATAAATGAACATGCGGATGTGTATAATATAATAAATAAATGCAGAAATAATATAAATAAGACAAAACTGTCACTTAATAAAATAAAAATTAAATTAAACAAACAATGTCTCTTAATAACATTAATCTTCGTAAAAAGACCACCACGCAGTAGCCAATGTGTCTGCATCTCTATGGTTGATGCAACCAATTCTCCTATGTGCCTTAAAGATCTCTAACCTTTCAAGATATTTTATCGTGTGTATATTTGTTGTTGGGTTGATTATTGTTGCTTGATCCCATTGGACTTGAATGTCCTGTTGTCTTGCGTAAGCTGCTAGCATGGTATTGTCATGGTTCTTATCAATCGAATATTTGTGCTCAAAGAGCAAAAATATTTGATTGATAAGAATGCTCTTTGAGTCATTGGTGTATGTTGTGCATCGTGGCTCCTATGTAGACAAGTTTAGAATCTGAACATTGGTTATGCAATGGTATGGAGTAGATTTCTGTGGCTGAATTCTGGTTATATTGTTTTTTTATCATTTCTTAAGATTCTGAAAATTGTAGGATTGCATCAATATACCACTTGGAGATTATTAGCTTCGACTGCTTTTTATGTATTCCCCTCAAACATGAGATATAATTTAAAACTATCCTTTGTTTTCGGTCTAACTTGTTATGATCATTTTTTGTTGTTTGGATTAGTTGTGATTAGTTTCTCTATCATTTCTCTCCGGTATCCTTGTTGTTCTGCTATCCTTAAAATGTAATTTAGCTCTGTTATTGTCTCATTTATGTTTGTACAATGCATATAAGCTCTTCTTATCCAGGATCTAAAGGCTGCTAACTTTATGTGATGAGGATTGACAGATTTATGTGGAATTAAAGTAGGTTGCAAAGATGGTTTTCTGTATATGCTGGTCCAAATTTCCTCTTGTTTGCAAGTGATGAAAATGTCCAAAAAATTTACATTACTATCACTCTCCTGGTCCACTTGTAGTAATAAATCGTAGTGGTTATTATTGATCGTTTCCAAAAACATGTTGTAGGTTAGGTTTTTTTCTGCCATAGGATGAATATATCGTCTACATATCTAGTGTACCAAACAATAAGGTGTTAAAATTTGGGTAGAACATTGTTTTCCAGCTGTCGCAATACCAACTCACAAAGAATTGCCGATGTTGGACTACCCATAGGTACACCTCTTCCTTATAAATATACCTTGTTCTCAAATTCAAAGAATGATGTATAACATATTAGGTGCACAAGTTCTAGTATCTGATTGTGATGATGTGGCAAATTTTCAATGTTGGCAAATAAGAAATTGCTTATTACACAAAAACATCGAGGTATTTTTATAGAAGAATACATTGATTTAAAATCTAAGACTGTCATGTATTCATTGTCCAATAGAGAAATGCCACTGAGACTTTCTATAAGCTGCAGAGAGTTGTTAATTGAAAACGTCATTCTTTGAATTTCCATTATTGTTGTGGAAATTATGCTAGCAGCATAATATGCATGGTATGCAAGCAGCTTACGCAAGACAACAGGACATTCAAGTCTAATGGGATCAAGCAACAATAATCAATCCAACAACAAAATATACACAGGATAAAATATCTTAAAAGATTAGAGATCTTTAAGGCACATAGGAGAATTGGTTGCATCAACCATAGAGATGCAGACACATTGGCTACTGCATGGTGGTCTTTTTACAAAGATTAATGTTATTAAGAGACATTGTTTGTTTAATTTAATTTTTATTTTATTAAGTGACAGTTTTGTCTTATTTATATTATTTCTGCATTTATTATATTATCTAAATCAACATGTTTGTTTATTTATGTATTCACAGTAAAGCATCGATTATCCGACTCAATTGGGGACTGGGGTTGGTCGGATAACTGAAAAAACGGATAACCGAAAAATATGAAAAAATACATTATTAGTATATCTCATATAATTAGTATATTAGTATATCGCTATTAACCTACTTCGCATTGAATTTTTATCGATGTTAAACCCAACAAAAATTTTTTAAAATAATAATCATCACTATTGTATCATTAAAAATTAGAAAATTAAGCCTCATTTAAATCTGGCTCCCTTTCATGATCGAGCCAGTGTTGCCAGCTAAAACACATAAAAGTACTATTAAAGTAGCCAAGACATAGCCAAATATTGTAGTGTCACATCACTAGCCGACTAGAACGGTCGGTTAACCAATGTGATGGTTAATCAATGCTCTACTGTATTTCTAATCTCATTTCATATTTACTTTCTATGTTAGTGTTCTATTTTGAGTTAACTGAAGAAGATTGGTTAAAACGATCGAAAATGTTTTTAATTTAGTAAATTTTATTTGCTGGATTGTTAAAGCTGTGTTTTTTATAATATTTAGTTATCTAGTATGTACATTTTATTAGTTTAGAAAGAAGTTACATTTATTTAAGTAACACATCAAATTCATCATTTCATTTCAGTCATTTTTTTTCAAACATAAATGTTTTTGAACACAAGAAATGTTACTGTTTGTGTAATACTAACTACAATACTAAGCATTGCCAAATACAAAACTATTACTTTGCAAATAATACAACAGTTGCCAATTTATTTGTTTTGTTGTTTTTTAGTTAGCACTAAAAAACAACAAAACACTTAAAACTGTAAATGATTTAAAATACCAATTTCCCTCTAATTCAGTTATCTTTGACAATTGAACCAAAGTGTATTAACATTTTTTACTGCATATTAAATAATTGATCATCATATAAAGTTTTATCCAACAATTTTGAATCACCCTGTATTCTAGCCTTTTATTTTCCTGGCTGTTATGTTTAAATAATAAGGGAAAGTATTGGAATCAGGTCAAATTTGACCCTCTAAGGTTTTTGCAAATCTCCATTTTGAAACCTCCCGAATCCAAAAAAATAAAAAAAAGGGAGGAAAATTATGTATGTGTTTGTATGTGTTGGCATCTATTTTGTTTAATATCTCTGAATGGAGAAAACATTAAGAAATGAAATTTGGCATGATAGTTCGTATGTAAGGGGCATTGATTCCGTTAAATTTTGGGGGTTAAAGGTCAAGAGGGTAGGGTGATAGAGGGGAGAATTTGTCATATGTCAAGAGGAATCTGATTTAATAAAAATTTTACTCATTATTAGCATTTACAATTTTAATAAAATTCATCTCTACCCTCAAAATTAAACGTTTTGCCATTTTATAACAATTAATAATATAAAAGTTTTTTTTATAATAAAAACTCTTAACAGCCAGGAAAATTACATAACTTATTGCTGAATTTTAAGCAAATATTATATGCATATTTTAACTCAATTTCATGTCACAATTTCTAATCCCTACTGACCATAACACGTGCAGTAAGCAGTCTTGAAATTTTTTGAGTATTCTTTCTACCCCATGGAACTAAAAGGGCTTTTTTTAAAGCCCATTGTGGGTTTGACCAGGCCCACAATGGGCAGCTGGACAATGAGGGATGGTTTACAAATTTAATATAGAATAAATTATTTCCTTTAGTTGTATTTTTATGATAGTTACCATTTACATGTAAATAATATAACTTTAAATGGTAAATATGTACAATTTTCTTACCCCAGAGTTGTCTGACTTTGTTGTTTTAACATTAACTGCTTTTTATGTTGTTGAAGCTCTTCTAAAATCTTCCTATTTTGAATTTCTAAAAATAAATTATTGAATAAAAAATTAATTCAATAAATACATCTATAATAAAATAACTTATAATATAAACTGAATATTTTTCATTCTAAATATGATAAAGACAATTTACATAAAATAATTTTCTCATAACATCAATGTGTTTTGCAAATCAAATTTTGCTGTTTAATCCCAATATCAAAAGAGCATAACATTTCATTCCATTTATAAAACTAAGCTTTTAATCGAGTAAGTTAAGTGACGTCAGTCATTATATTTTTATTTAAAGAATAAAATATTGCAAAAATTTAAGTGCACCAAAGAAACCTTGACAATCCAGCAAATAATTTTAATGTAAATTCTACAAATGTTTTTGATCTTACACAAAATATGCTTCAGATCAATAACATTCTAAATTGGAAAGCATAAGACTAATTTCAAGATTTTTCAAATTATATAGATATAAAATTGAATAAATAAAGATTTGATTGGTTTTTAAGATGTATAAAATTAAAAAGATACAAATATAAGAAATAAATACATCACAAAAATAATATTAACTAATTTATATTGTTTTAATTTTATACATTTTAAAAGGCAAATCAAAACATGTAGTGGTCATGAAAAAGGAATCATACCAAAAGGCCATAACACACTATATCTCAGACATGGAATGCACAGTAGCGCCTCGCAGTTTCCTTGAGAAAATATCTGCCAAGACATTGAAGATCTCCAACTCTCCTCTCACTAATACCTTGAATCTGGCGGCAACGAGAGTTATGGCACCATCTCCACCTCATATATTTGCATTCGCAAAAACCCATAAGAGTGGACAACAGTTATGAGCAGTGGTGGATAAAACGACTTCTCCCACTATTAAAATGGAGAGACTTCTTAACAAATACATCACTAACAATCTAGAGGATCATACGTACACAGTCACTAATCCTGAAGAAGTATTTCAAAAATTACGGGATCTTAACAAGTCATCGATGGCATATTTCACAATATGTGACTATCAAACATTGTTCCCATCTATAAAACTGGAACCCTGTTTCTGAGAGTTGAGAGATTTTCTTCTGGCAAAAGTGTAAGGCTCTTATAAGTATCTCCCTGATGTGTTGGACTTATCACACTTGATGGTCCACTCGTCCTTCTTCGAATATGAAGGAGTCACCTACATACATACAAGGGGTGTGCTGATGGGCAGCCCAATATCAGGAACACACTGTGAATTAGTGATCAGAAAACATGAGAATACCATATTACCCAAATTTCAAGAGGACATAGCATTGTATGTCAGGTACATCGATGACATCTTCAATGTATGGAACAAGGTACCTAACATTGATTTTGTACTTAACTATTTTAACAACAACCCCTATGGCCTGTCGTTGAAAGTTGAACAGGAGAGTCAGACAACAGTACATTTTTTGGATATCGCCATCAAAATGGAGCAAGGTCATCTTTCCAGCTATGTGTTCCGTAAGAAGTCATATACACCTCTATTTATACATAACCGGTCACATGACCCTTACTGTTACAAAGTCTCTGCTTTTCGAGCTTTGGTAAAAAGGGCACACACACATTGTTTGGAGCAAAATGAAAAGGAAAACGAATTTTCGAGAATCAAGGCCCTTGCAACGCAACATGGATACCCATCCTCTTTGGTCAAGCATCTCATAAAACAATACATAAATAGGAGGGAGAGGAATAGGCCACAAGACAAACAGTTGAGGGTTATCACATACAACAAAACACTTTCTAATATATATATAGAGAGATTACAAGGACTACTAAAATACACATAGCATATCAACGTTCTCTTACAGTCTTCTCTCTTATCAAAAATTATAAAAACCGTATAGAAGATTCTAACTCTCCAGGGGTTTATGTGGTTCCTCTTCAAGAAGACTGAGTTAACCATGTATTAACATACATTGGAGCAACGGCAAGAGGTCTCGCCATGAGGATGAAAGAACATGAATACTCGATAAGAAAAAAGCTGACCATGACGGCACTAGCGACATATGCGAATAATGAGGATGTTCATGTTGATCTACAAAACACTAAATTACTACACTAAGTATTGGATAAGGCACAACTCAAATACCTCAAATCGCTGGAGATATATAAAGCAATTAAAAAAAGGGGTCGGTATTAATTTCAAAGAAATTGATATACTTTCCGCAGCATGGCACACCATGTTTGAACTAGATCCCAATGATTGAAACGCGCATCAAAGATATTTTAAATTATGAAGGATATTTACGTCATGATCTATGTGAAATCAATTGATTATTTATTCGGATATGTTTCAAATATTTTACATATTTTCAATTTTAATGCAACATATTCGAATTACATAGTTAAACAGAACTTTCAAAAACATTCTATTCTACTAGCCGTTAGTTCGATATCGTCAATATCTGAGGATGTCTATTACATATAGATGAAAACGTTCATAGAAAGAATTTTTCTGTTTGGTTATGAATTGGTGATGGTTTATTTGGTGAGTGTTATGTAATTAAGTACCCAGTTTTTTGAAATATACATTTTAATATTTATATATCTAATTAAATGTTTCTGAAATTCCTTTTAAGGATTAAATATGTTAGTAGTTNATATCGTCAATACCTGAGGATGTCTATTACATATAGATGAAAACGTTCATAGAAAGAATTTTTCTGTTTGGTTATGAACTGGTGATGGTTTATTTGGTGAGTGTTATATAATTAAGTACCCAGTTTTTTGAAATATACATTTTAATATTTATATATCTAATTAAATGTTTCTGAAATTCCTTTTAAGGATTAAATATGTTAGTAGTTCCATTAACACGAATTTAAAAATTACTTTTGCTGAAATGCATAAAAATATTTGCTTATTTTCCATTTGATAACATTGGTGTTATAAACAGAACATTCGTTTGCACTAAATCATTGCAATATTACGAACCAATGCATCAATTATTCATATTGATCAATATTTCAATTTTCAAATCTTCGATTAAAAAAAATGTGATTTTTAACATAAAATTTATGATAAATTTAGTATTTTTTGGTAATATTTGAGCTCTCAGTAAGATGGGAGAAATTATAAAAATTCGAATTGGCCTTATTATATAAATATGTGCAAAGCACGTGATTAATGTAATTGACATTTTTCCGAAAATCTAGTTTCTTGTCATATAACTACGGAAAATGGCAACTAACAGTTGTTATGAAACATTATGACAAATACCTTGTCTAGACGAAGGAGGCTGGAAAGCCATTCCACATTATCGGACTTTCAGTAATCTAAAGTATACAATCAGAGCCAATACATGCCAACTTCATAGAATTTGAAACAGTATAAACAGCATGCTACCTACCCAAAGACGATCGACGATTTTAGACCTCTATCGGGCAATTCTGTTACTAACTTTCTTTTTTTTCTGAGAAATGCTGAATCAATTGAATTTTCAATTACAAATCCATTCTTATATAATTAAAATTTTATTTTTTGGCATAATATGATAAAACAGTTAATTTCTTATTAAAAAACTCAGATGGAAAAATGAGTAACCGTGCCTCTCTGGGAGTCCGGGATTGAATAGAATAAGGAATCTTAAGAATATTTCGCAGAATTTTTTTTGTTTTAACTTTAAACTCTTTCTGCCCTGTAATCACTAATAGGACATTTTATCAAGCCCATTACGGGTTCGGCCAGCCTCACAATGAACAGCCGTGTGGTGAAGAAGGAACCGATATATTTCTAAAAATTCCTGGAAATTTTTGATCAGTCCAAATTCGATATTGAGTCTTTGCAATTAAAAGAGCATTCCTTGATTCTTGAACAATAATAGAATCTGAAATACTATCCAAATAACCATTTATATGGGAGTGGAGTGAATTTAGGTTACATGTTCTTTTTCGGGCTTCCTTCTAATATCAGTTCTGGTTACGCTACTGCGAACGTCTCGAAGATCTGATTCGTTCGGTAGTTCTGACTTAAAAAGGAAATATTCATTTAGGAACGAATCCGAACGCTTACCGCCGACTTAAATTAAATTAAGGAATGACGGAAGATTAGACTACTGATTGGATAACGTTGCCTTTAGGAATACAGCATCTGTAGGCACAAAGAAGGTTGGTTTCGTTTATTTGATTACGGCAACGCACACGTGGACGATCTGTCGAGGAGGATGCCTCCCTGGAAGACTCTTTAAAGGAAACGGGCTCTTATTTAGTGTTACAAACGTAAAGAAACTCCACGTGCTCAACCCATTGGCCAGGCGCAAACCCACGATTAACTGCTAGTGGTCAGTGGTTTTATCCACTCGGCCATTGGTGGGCGTAAAAAGAGGGACTTTTTGGTCATGCTTATAATAGTTTCGACTTTTTTTAAACTCTTTCCGCCCTGTGGGCACTAAGAGGGCCTCTTTTTGCAAACCCATTATGGATTCGGCTAGGCCCACAATGGGGTGGCCGGGTGGCGACCACTCGGCCATCCGGCCGTCTAATAGTTTCGGCTGTGCTCACAATGAGTGCGATCGGGTGATAAGGGACAGGACCGAACGGTCCGACTGCGAACGGTTAAGACGTCGGCCTAACACTCTGGAGGACCTAAGATTAAATCCGGACGGATCAAAAAACTCCAAGAATATTTGGAAGAGGGGTCCGTCCGGATATGTCGGACCCCGTCCTTCACTACTGGCCGAAATAATGGGCATACAAAAAAAAACAAAAAAGGAGGAAATAGCCAAAAATAATAATAAAAAAGATACAACTAAACGAACAAAAAACAACATTTTATGTAAAAAAATAAAAAAATAAGTAAATAAAGTTGTACAAAAGAAACAATCCACTTATTTTAAATTTTATTTCAAGTGTTGACTGTAAATAAATATTATATATTGTAATATAAGATGATACGCATACGTAAAATGCTCCTGTATTGTATGTACCAAATTATATACAAAATTTGCAAGAATTCCAAAATATTATTCATTAATCACCAGAGGGCGTATTGTCCTATCTGAAAATTTAAGTGTTGGTTTGAAACTTGAAAACAAATCTGTTAATCCAATTACGGTAAATTAATTTCTAACAAATATGGAAGACGATTTAGAAGAAATGCGTCAGCTAAGAGGTAAATAATGTAATAATTTAGCATTTTTTAAGATATTCATCTTTTATCTTATTAATGTATCCTTAAGGTAAGCTTTGAACTCTGAATGAGGGATTTGTATCCCTTGAATTATCAATGTACAGTACCATATGATTTATAAACTCGATGTTTAAAGGACAGGAAGCTTCAAGTAAATAAACCAAAGGTGCCACTTGTTATTAACTGTTGAACATTTCAAAGATGATTCAACCTCTCATCAGCAATCACAAGAAACCCAGAAAAATTTCTTGGGGTTTTCTACCCTGATTCGATTCAGGATACCCTGGAATGGTTGGCATACAATAAGAAACCATCCTCTGAATGAGATGGTTGGGATCCTATTGGAGCTGTAGAACACGCCTGTAGGAGCAAAAAAGTCAAAGGAATTGTATTTCTATGATCAACCTTTCGGCAGATATGGCCCCTAAAATCGGGAGCATGAGATCATAAGTTGCGTCGCTCCACTAAGAGTATCATGTTTAACTATTTAGCTCGTGACTATGCTGGCTTTGAATAGACCACTAAACTGTTCATGGAGTACTCGATGTTATATAGTTTTAGGGGAATGTGGGGCTCACCTCCACCCGGATGCTGATGTGTGAGTGACGGCCAGCACTGAAACATACGACAATGTGGAGTGTGGAGAATAGGCAGTATGTTGATACATGTTAAAAGCCGACTGTTGGAAGCGAAAGGTTGCATGTATGGGTATGGTTTCTTTGACTTTATTGCTTGTATAAGGTGGTCTAAAATTCTAGAGGGGTGCAAAACCCCTTGTTTGGAGCTTGAATCTTATTCCTGTAACATATTTTGTGTGTGTATCTCTAATGAATAAGAGAGGTTAATTCTAACAAAGTTGCACTTTTATATATTGGACCGGAAAATTATTCATTATGGATGGGTGTCCGCTTTAATGAGATTTCTGTTAAAAGAGGTTGTGTGATATATATAAACACATATAAGCACATTATATAAATAAGGTTTAATCTCAATTATTCCAGATTCTGGATTATCTGAGACTAACCTGTAAGTAAATACACTTTTCTTATATACTGTAATTGATAAAAGAAAGTTTAAAATGATTTGCTTTTTGTTACTTTTTATTATCTAACTGCAATGTGAGACAAATTATTCATTTTAAAACTTAACTATAATAATGTACATTTTTATTATTAAGATTATTGTACATATTAATCTGTTTAATAAATGTTGTAAAATTGTTCTTATATTTGATTAAATTCACTAAAAACAGCTTAAAAGTGATATCCCATATAAATCTTTCATGTTATATTTGTACTTTTTAATCCAAAATGATTGTGACTGTTTATTTTTTCATTTTTGGATGTCCAAAGTACCAATAGTTTACATTACCTTGGTTCTACTATGTGTGATTTCTTACACAATCCATGATAATTCTATATATGGTATTTAATATTTATATTTATTTATTTATATCTAGTTATATATTTGTATTATAGAAATGAGGAAGAAAGATATTCAGGAAAAATTAAAGGCTAACAATTCAAAAACTTCAAGTTTGAAAGAAGAAAACGATGACATGAATAAGGTGATGGGGTTTTCAGGATTTGGTAAGATATATATATATTTATGGCATTAATTTTTAAAATGATACTAAAGTTTTTAATTATCTGATGCGTCAGTTGATAATTAATCATGTAATCTAGCTTTTTTACAGTTTTATATAAAATTTAAATTAAAAAAAACAAACAATATTTTTTCAATTACAGTAGAATCTTCTTATTGTAATTGTTTTAGGGCTTGTTAAGCCAATAACAGTAATCTAATAAAATAACATTAAGCAGTTTAAGTATATAAGATGACCAGTAGAAATTCTAGTTTCATTGACTTTGTCATTAAATAGTCAAGTTAAAAACAACTATAAAGTCTCTTCTGGTAACTTGGTTTCAACAGTTTAAACTATTGTATCGAAAGCAAATAGTAATCAAAACAATTTTGAAACTGATGAAGATAACATGTATTATCAGCTATAAATTGAGGCATTTTGCCTATTTATTGGAAAATAATGATCACAATAACTGAAATCTGATTATATTAAAGTTTTATAAGTTTATTTTAACTCATATATTTTGGGTCTTACTAATTCTGACAACATTAAACAAATAATAAAAACATTTCTGATTTATAATAAGTGGATTCTACAATATATGAGTTCTGTAATTAATCTATACTGTATAAAATATCAGTTCAAGAGATTGTGTTGGTTTGAAACTTGAAAACAAATCTGTTAATTCAATTACGGTAAATTAATTTCTAACAAATATGGAAGACGATTTAGAAGAAATGCGTCAGCTAAGAGGTAAATAATGTAATAATTTAGCATTTTTTNAATTCTAGTTTCATTGACTTTGTCATTAAATAGTCAAGTTAAAAACAACTATAAAGTCTCTTCTGGTAACTTGGTTTCAACAGTTTAAACTATTGTATCGAAAGCAAATAGTAATCAAAACAATTTTGAAACTGATGAAGATAACATGTATTATCAGCCATAAATTGAGGCATTTTGCCTATTTATTGGAAAATAATGATCACAATAACTGAAATCTGATTATATTAAAGTTTTATAAGTTTATTTTAACTCATATATTTTGGGTCTTACTAATTCTGATAACATTAAACAAATAATAAAAACATTTCTGATTTATAATAAGTGGATTCTACAATATGAGTTCTGTAAATTAATCTATACTGTATAAAATTTCAGTTCAAGAGATTTTTTACTGTATTATATGATTTGACTTATTGAAAATAAATTTAAATTTTTCTCAATATTTACAATGAAAAGTGTTTTAATTCAAAAAGACCCTGCTCAATTCTTATGGATTTTAGTGAAATTGGCTGAAATTTTAGTATGTTATAGTTAATCACATTGAAAGATTTTAGATAAAAATGTATGATTAACTCGTATGGGAATGTTTTGAGTGGATATGTGTTTGCATATCTGTGTCTGTGATAGAAAATGTGTGTGGGGAAGTCCCTCTATATTCACAGAAAGTACATTCATCCACATACACAAATATGTTCATTCATACTAAAATATTTACTAAAATTCAATCACCAGATGCCAATGTATATATTATATACAATTCTATATACACTTGTATTTATAAAAAATGTATAAATAATCTCCCACTTATCTTCCATATATACATCATCCATATATGCACTACCTATTTATATACAGTACCTCCCTATACAGGATGACAAAAAAGTTTGATAAATAAATCAGGTATAAACTATTGAATGGTGATATTTTTTAACTTCCTGAATGGGCCAGAACTGTAATTTTGTAATGAAACATGGTAGTTTTTAATATAGATTTGTTTAAACCAAACTCTTTTCTCACTGATGCAAGCATCTATTCTGCTTGAATTTGTTGCTCCAAGAACTTCATAGGACATGGCCACATGGATCACTGACATCTTGTAAATAAGGTGTGTAAATAAAAATCAAAACTTGTTTGAAATGAAAATGTAAACACAAGTGTAATGTTTACATTTGTTGACATTGGTTATTCAGCCAGCTGAAAAATATTGTACCACAGAATGGCTTGTAATAAGGTTTTGCAAGGATAGTTCATCACAGATTCAAGATTATTTTATGTTTGATGGATGCATTTTCAGAAATTTTTGAGACAAATTTTTTTGCATTTTATCTATATCTAAATTAAATGAGCAATTATTTATTATGTCATTTTCAGAATGCAGGGTTGCAATTTTTAATAATGTTAATTTATTTAATTTAAAATATATGCTCTCTCCATTTTAGTAGAGCCTTGGCCCTGTACATCATATTTTTCCTGATAAGTAGGGTCATGCCAGTCATCTGTCTAACTTAAAGGTTTCTCAAATGGGATCCTGGTTTTTTAACCCAGGAAATTCTTTTCATTCCAGGAAACCCCACAAATTTCTTAAAAGTTTACTTTTTTCTTATTTTGGGTTAAGTTTGAGGAAATCTTGCAAATAGAAAGTATAATTAACCCATAAACTGTCAGAATACATTGTATTTATTAATTTTAAACCTACTTATTAGTTCTTTTTAATTTTTCCTCATTATGGTATGTCACAGATTGTCAATAATCAATAAGTAGCCTATTTGTGACAGGACCTGAAAATTCTTTACTTGTCAGAACCTGTAATATCTGGAATTATTGTGCTTATGCTGTCTTAATTTTTAACCATGCCCAGTAGCTTCAATAACTGTAATGCCAGGTTGTGCAAATTGGGCAAGGATACAAACGAGTATGAAGTCTGCAAGTGTCAGGGTAGGATTGTGTAAGAACACGATTCCTGCCTTTCTATTTTTAAACTTGTAATGGTCGCTGTTGCGAAAAGATGGTTAAGGAAGCAACCGTGGGATTTTGAATGCATGGCAACTGATTGGTTGTCAGATCATCACACCACCAGTGGACCTCTAACAGAGCAACTAATCACTCATTGATTGAGGATCACACCACTCTACATATTTACATAGTGCTATAAACAGTAACTATTGATTGGTCGGCAAGAAATCACGCCACACGACAGTGGCGTGCCGTCATTAGAAGCGGTGGAAGCACCGCTTCCCTTGTATTTTATAAAAAATAAATACATATTAATTTTAATTATATGAAAATAATCACACAATATTTTATTATAACCACATTACTTATCTTATTACAAATTTCTATACTACATGTGAAAAAAAAAAAGGATCACTATTGTATATTCGAATGTTAGTGGCAGAGTGGAATCTCTGTATTGTCAGATTCCAAAAAGCCAGATTTACGCATGTGCTTTACAGAGCACCAACCTCACCCGGTTCAGCTGCTGGAAGCCTACGACCTTGGGTTGATGCTTACACATATAACGCTTCTAATTCTATCCGGGACCGGTTCCGGGCTGTTAGCCGCCCGCCCGCTAGATATTTGGCCGATTACGTGAATAACGATTAGATTTATAACTTAATGCAACCGATAAGAATTTACTGGTATGTTTTTACTATAGTTCTGTATAGTTGACAGGAGTGAAAAAAATCTGTTAAAATATTTGATATTTTTATTCCACTCTCCGATTTTATATTACTTACGGATTTCAATGTTAAACTAGTGATATTATGATTTCGTACGTCCCATCTTTAAGGGGATGTAGAAGAAAACGTGTACAATTCTTGTATAATGTTAAAAAATTAACTGTTACTTCAACAGCGCCATTTACAACTAAATTTAATGAATGAGAGAGATGCACCAGGTACAGAAAAAGCTCTAGAATTTATTTCCCTTAAATTTACGATTTATGTATCCGTTTGTCATAAAAATTAGTCTTTCCACTTTTTTCCCGAAACTACAAATATTCGAGTACAAAGTAACCGGTTTTGACTTATTTCTACTTAAGAAATAGTTAAATAATTAAGCGATTAGGGAATTGGGGACGTAAACAAAACCCTGATGAAAGAGCTGGAATATTACTTAAACAAAAGCTTAACCAAACCAATCTATAGCCGAGTACAGTGGGGATTGATTTCTTCGAAATACTGTATTAGATGTAATAAAGACAGAAATTTTTCCACTTCAACGAGAGTGACTGAAAAGTTGTAAATTTTGGAAATTTCCATGGTCAACACCTGGTCCTAAAACAAATTAGTTAGAAAACAAATGACTATTAAGTTTAACATATTTAGATTTTTACAGCTATGGTGAGAAACGTTTAAAATCTACAACAGCCCTGTCGCGTCCTTTGAGATATACTAATGATGCGACAAAAGAGGTATTTGACACTGACCGGTATCAGCACCCTAGGGATTTGGCAGTCCGCGTGTATGCACACTATGCAACTGTCTTCGATTCCATCCATTAGCCACTCGTAAGGAGCTGTTTGACTAAGTGCATTGTTTTAAGATTTAAAAAGTAAAGAATATTTTATATTTTTATGTACATTTCTTTGCAAAGCTATATTTAATTATAATTTTCTTTAAAAGTATATTCATATAATTGAAGAATATTTTGTATGTACCAGTACATCCACTACATATTTTATTTCACCGAGTAAGTTTTTATTATTTTATTTTTAATTGTAGCCCTTATATTGTGGCTAGCGATTCGGAATGTAATTGTGATATTAAAAATGCATTTAGAGAAGTCTACGGTTTTTACTGGCTTATTGAATAAACAATACGAATGACCTAGACTGTCACTGATGCGCAATTGACTGATTGCCCCTGGATGTTGGCTTCTTACAGAAACACAGCTTCCCTATCATCAAATGTCATAGCATGCCCCTGCCACACGGTATTTCCATAGTGCTACAGCTTGGTAAGCACTGATTGGTTGTCCAATCCATTATTGACAGCTATAAAAGGATTAATGTCAAAGAGGGAAATTGAAATTCACTTCAACATGGGAACTTCAGGATATACACTAAGTTCATCGTAAATCTTCAAGTGTGTATCAGAATTTGAGTCAAGTGTGGATTTGTCTTGTTGTCTGTTCTTTGACTGCCAGAAGAAGGTTACTTCTAGCCTACAACTCGTCGATTCATCGTAAGGTGTCTTCTCGACGAACCAAGATTTGCATATTGAACTATCTGAACTTTGTGAAATATGAACTTTTTAAACTTCACTGCAAGAATAAAGTTTTTCTTCATAAACCTGATTATTAAAGACAAATGAACTGCTGAATTATTGGGCTATAAGCTTGATGTTTCTATCAAAGCAGCTGAGGAAGACAAATCAAGAATACTAGAGAGCAAAAGAAGTACTACAATCTCGAAAACAAACTAGAAATCTTCCATGCCACAGGTGAAAAAACACAAACCTCTGTTTTCTTGTAAATGCATTAAACACACTTCCACTCACATCAGTTGAATTGGAAAGGGCATTCTCAGTAGCAGGACTTTTCATTACTAAAATAAGAATCAGATTGAGTGATCGGAGTATTGACCATCTTTGCTTTTTAAAATCTTATTACAAAAATTTACAATAATATTTTGTATTATGTTTTATTTAAAAAAACAAAAATTACCTTTTAAGTTAGAAGTTTGATCTAAATTAATTTTTTTAAGTTTTCAACTCAATTCAAAGCATTTTGTTGTTGTTGTTGTATGCAGTTTCCAGCAAACTTTAATAAATTTTTTCTATTTGTGAAAATTTCTACATAATTCAAAGGTAATTTTTAATATATATATTACACAGCATTATTAATATAATTTTGGAGGTTGCAGAATGTATTAAATTACTTTAAAAAATGAAAAATTATTATATCATTTGATTTCAAGATATTTTGTATATCTTAAAAATAATTAATTCTATCTCGGAATTTCTCAAGATCCCAGGAAACAGTTCACTTTTATCCTGTAATTCTGGGACAAGCAAAAGACCGGGAAATGAGAAACCCTAATTTAACTCTGTTTGGGAAAAATTTTTGAATTAAAAATACATGATTTCTGGTTTATACTGGAAGTTTGTATATAGTTAATCTGGGTCTCCTGCCTCTAATGTTTCCATGTATGATCTCATCTTTCATCTAACACTATTCTTGAGATTAAGGAAAGACAGACACCAGATGGTTGAGAGTGAAAATTTATAGATCTACAAGTTTTTCAGATTGCAGCCTAAAAATATGACCTTCCATTTAAAAAAATTTGCTTTTGGCCTGGCTAGTTTTCCCAGAATTGGAAACTGAGACTATCACCATTTGATAGAGCATACTTATAGAACATACATATAGAGCAATTTACTTATCAAAATTTACAGGATTTTTTTGATGAAACTCATTTGCCATCATTTTAAAAGGGGCATACAGATGGTCTGTCACTTTATGTATATATACCTTCTGTATGTATATAATCCCATATGTATATTATTCATATATTTATTTCCCCTATGTTCAGACAACTGGAGCAAAAAAAAAACCTATCTATTTTCAAGCTTCATTCCCATTAAGACTTTTGTTCAGTCAAGAACTATAACATATTAAAATTTCACCAAGGGCCAATGCCCATAAGGATTGTGTGTGATCCTTTATTAATAGAATATGCAATTTGATCTGCAATTCAATTGTTGTAGATGAAAAAATAAAACGTAACAATTTTTAATATTATTAATACTTTTATAATGTCAAGAATACTTATATTTGTCTAGCTGTGATATTGCTGAGTTAATATTTAGAAAAATATCCTTGTTTTTTAATATATTTGTTTTACATGATACACTATCATTTATTAGGAAAGAAAGCTAGAACATTTGATTTGGAATCTCTGTTTGATCACACAAGAAGAATTGCTGCCAAAAAGTTTCAGTCAGGCTGTAAGTATCAGAATATAAAAAAAAGGATTGAGAGTAAACTGATGAAAAAGTTTTAAATAAAACAAAAAATATGTATAATTTTCTGTTATTGTGATTATTTTACTTTGAGAATGTTATTAAAATAACTTTTACTGTTATTATATCACTTAACATAATTGTTTTTGAGATTTTTTAAAAATATTTCTTTATCCTAGCTCATATCGTTTAAAATATAATTGTAATTTTATGAAAAGATATTTAAAGTAAAAGGTCATCTTGTCTGTTTGTGTGTAAAATAGGTGTAATGTACAGCAGACCCCCTATAACACTACGTGTGCTGGGCTGTGAATGGCTCACGTATTTGTAAAATCTAATTGACTTGTGCAACATGGAATTCATATAACAAGGAATTATCTACAGTGTTATGGGGGTTCTACTGTATTCATACATAATTTCATATACAGTGTGACGATAAAATTCCCAGACCAATTTTATTACAGAAACACAAAAACAGATAAATTTTTTCATAGTTGTCTTTCAACATAGGGATGTATTGTGTCTCTTTGCTATGTAAATGTGTTTTGCAACAACTGTATAATGATATAAAACTTAATAAGAAGTCCTTTCTTGGAATAGCCTCATCTCCCCCTGTCATTTTTTTTGAATGGATGGTAGTACAGTACATCATCAAACTAATGTCTCTTCAGTTTTAGCTAAAGTTACAGGAAAAGTCTGCTGGAGAAAGATGTGGAGAGTAAGAGAAATATGGAAGCACAACAACACTTTTTTTTACCAAAAACTGTGCTCTAGTGCTGACAAGTGTGCTGGAACATTGTCATGGAGCAGGAACCAAGATGACTTTTCTTGTCATTGAGGCCACATCTGATGAATGTGCATCAGAAGCCTGAACAGCACACCAATATAATATTTTCCACCCACAGTTTGTCCTTCCAGGAAAAATTTTTCTGTGAATCATTCTGTTGAAATTGAAAAAAATGCATTGTCTTGATATGAGATTTTTCTGACTTTGTGCTTTTGGCCTTTTCAGGCTCAGCAATGTCACACTGTCATTAAGTTTTGAGATTGTACATGAAGTCTCATCATCTGAAATTTTGCAGGAGGTTTGTTTATTAAGGGGATTAAAGCTATTAAATTTTGGTGATTTAAGGTCCAAGGGGTGTGAGATAAAGGGAGTCACATGTATCTTGAGTAGGGTCGGACTTAATGACAATTTTACTCATTATTAGCATTTACATTTTTTTACAAAACCCATCCCTATCCTCAAAATTAAGCTTTTTGTCATTTTATTATAGTTAAAAATATAAAAAGTTTTTAAATAAAATATCATAACAGATGGCCCCACACATTTTTAAATGTTACCAGGAACATTAAGCAACTCATTGTTGGATTTTTTTGTGATGCACTTGAAAACAATGACAAGTTGGTTAGAATTCTGTAAATTAATGTCAGATATATTTTACATTTTTTAAAAATTAAATATAATGAAAGATTAATATCCTTAGTTTCAGCATTTCTAGAACATTTATTTCAATTTTAGCAAAAAAAGATAATGATGTACCAAAAGAAGAAAATTTAGAAACACAACTTGAAAAGGCTACACTTGTTCCTGATGCAAATGAAGGCAAAGATGATGACGATAATTGTGATGATGATGAGGAGGAGGAAGATTTAGTAAGCAACATTAAATTTATCAAATTACAGTAGAGCATTGATTATCCAAAACAATTTGGGACTGGAGTTGTTTGGATAACTGATCATGTATGAAAAAATTTATTAACCTATCCCATCTTGAAATTTTTCTTTGTTGCGTGTTGCTTTGCGTCAAATTTTCGTCAATGTTAAGCCTAATGAAAATTTTAAAAAAATAATAATTGTGGCTATTGTATTGTTAAAAATTATTTCTTTATTTTGCACAAACAAAATAAATATATTAAAAAATATAAAAACAAAAAAAATTATATTTCTGTAGTTTATCTAGTATCAAAAACATTCTGATTCAGCACAACACACGTCTGGACACACAGTACTCAGAAAAACACCACACAAAACAAAACAAAACTCTTTCTTTTTCTTGGGTTTATCTGGATATGTTAGCTGCTTGAGCTATATTCTCCGACGAGCTGAAGCAAAACACACCACTCATGAAGGGAAAAAAGTCTCATTCAAATACTGGTGTGTCCCTTAAGTACCCCCTCGACATGTGTCGTGCTGAATCAGAATGTTTTTGAACATAGATTAACTTCCAAAATATAATTTTTTTTGTTTTTATATTTTTCAATATATTTATTTTGTTTGTGCAAAATAAAGAAATAATTTTTAATGATACAATATGGTCACGCCAGTGCTGCTAGCTAAAACATGCACACCAACAAAAATAACATTGGAGTAGCCCAAGACATAGCCAAATATTGCAGCGCTAGTTTGCACTAGCAGAAATTTGAATTTGCTGACTGTAATGCTTTTGATTAACTGATATTTTGGTTGATCGGTATTCGGATAATCAATGCGCTACTGTATTAGTATACAACAATTTTTCACTTAAAATAATTTTTAAATCAAATAGTAAAAGAATCATTTAGTTTTGATTTTAATAAATATATATTTAATTTAGAATTTGGAGGATAAATTTTAAGTTTGATACAGAATTCTGAAAACTGATATTATTGAATTTTTGACATTTTATGAATGATAAGAAAGTTTAGAGCTAAATAAGATTGAAATTAAAAATATTCTATAAATAAATTATTTAACATTTAAAATTATGTATTCAACATAATTTGAAATGAATGAACATATGCAATATGAATATTATTCAGAAATCAACACACACTAAATAGTTTTTAGGATAAACATTTTTTAGTTGTATTCTTCTGTAACTTGGTTTGAAAGATTAATGTACGAGTATATCATTAATGCAGTTACTCCTCTTTAAAATAATTTAAAACCAGTGTTTTTTAATAGAATCTTAGTGATAACTGAAATATAATATAAAACTACTTAAAGCTTTAGATTTTGTCTTCCACATTAATTTGTTAATGTTGCATAGCAGTGTTTCTTCAAATTTATTACAATATGCAATTAATCTCGCACACACACACAGTACTCATGTAGAATTTTAATATCAATATGATATTTCAGTAATCAATACACAAAACATCCATTTTAATCAAACATGAAGTTGATATAATTAATGGAAAGGAATNAGCACTATTAACCGAGAGCGTTTTATTTTTGGCAAGTTATCGTTATCCTCTGAGCATTTTTCTGCATTATTTTCAGATTCATGCTTTACCTTTTGCAAAAAGTGTATGTAATTTTAGATTGCTTGCTTCTAGCTAAAAGATCTTTATAAATTTCCTTATATGGTGCTAAACACTTATGGAATAACGGAAAAACATCTGGCAACACCAGAAGCAGAAGCATCGAGATCTGGCAAAATTGAAACAATTTTCGCGAAGGACCATGTGTATGGAGACGAGAAAAGAAAATTTACACACTGAAGTACTAACAGTTCACGAAAATAATAATTTTTGTGAACTATTAGTACTTAAGTATGTAAAAACTTATTACATTTCATGTTGTATGAGGGTTTTACCCATTTCTCGAACCGTGTCAGAGTGAATCTGTGCTATAAAAGTACCGTGTTATACGGGGGATGTTACCAATTCTTGAATCATGTTAGAGTGAATCCATGCTATAGAAGTGCCATGTTATACGGGGGTTACCTGTACAAGATATTCGGTGTTAATTTGCATAAATCATCAATTATATTCATACTCTAGAAATGCAGCCCCCTTGTAAGTCAGTGTTTTTCTTCTTTTTCTTATTACATTCATCATTAAGCACCTTCCTAATTTCACCAATGAATACTTTAAATATAATCTGAGTAAGTTTATTGCATTGTGTTGTTCCAGTTTGTTTTAATATCTGTTTTCAAGTCATCATTGTTTGTATAATTTTGATTGTAACAAATTATAAATAAAGTAATGCTCATTTGAAAGACTGAAAGAGTATCAGCGAATATAACAGTTATATGCTTAAAGAATATATTAACATTAATTTAACTAATTAATTAATGAATTATTGACAAGACTATGTCTTGTTTATAAAATCATACTGCCATTTTATGTTACCAGCATAGAGGTATGAAGGAGTACATGTCAAGAGTTGATATTTGGCACAGAGTATTAGGTGCCCAAATCATTTGCGCATAAAAAAATCCAGACTTGTAGGTAGTCAGAGGACAGAGAACCAGGTCAAAATAAAATACAAAATGGCAACCCTCTTCTACAAACAAGCAAAACAGGCATCTCACCCCGCCAAAGTCAGGTGGGGGAGAGTACCACCCACAGTCATTCTAAGAAGTGAACTCTGACCTTAGAACTGAACACGAGTTTCTTCTATGTTAAATAAAATTTGTAATCTAATTTTGTAAATTTGGGAGTTCTTCAAATATGACGTTAAAACGGTTTTATGTCGTTACAAGTGAGTTTTTTTTAACATTATCTAGTATGTATAGTAAAATCATGAGACCGATAAAAATTTGACGTTATATTAGGGTTGTCGTTACATTTGATGATGTTATAATCGGGTTAAACTGTATATTGTTTGTGTAAAATAAAAAAATAATTTTGGACGATACAATAGCCACAATTATTTTTTTGAAAAATGCAATTTTTGTCAATGCGTAACGAAAATTTTTGAAATTTTCAACCTGGGCTGACTTGCAATGGAGAGAAATTTTGAAATTGGATAGGTTAACATTTCATCGAAAATGCATCATGGATGATTTTGTGGTTGTGGCCGGTGAGGTTTGAACAATTGCGCCCAAAAGCAGCGATACCAAAGAAGATTGGAGAATGAGAACAAGACTCACCTTGAGTGTCAAAGTAATTTCGCTTAGTAGTGAGTCTCTGAGACATAGTCTTGTCCCAAATACAGTTTTGCTGTTTTACTTATAATTTATATAAAATGGATACAAAATTGAGAATTATTGAGATTATGACATTAATTACATTTTAGTTATATTTTTTACAGAATAGATATTCAGAAATTCCCGCAAGCCATGAAATCGAGCTTAATCACGGACAAAAATCTGTAAGTTATTCATTATAAATTTAATATTTTAAAATATTTTTGAATTTATTTCTTGAATTTGATTTGATCACAATTATATGATTATAAAAACAATTTTAAAGTAGTTTTATTTTATTTTCAAGTATCATTTATTTTTAATTTTAAGCTTACAGAGATCTTATTTGTATATTTTTTCAAAATTTGCAAAATAATGAAAGAAAATATGAAGATTAAAATGCAAAATATTTTAAAGTAGAGCTTAAAATTCGAAGCTTTTAACCTTTTATTTGAAACATTTAGTTTTAACAGGTATTATTTAAATGAAATATTGAATATATGATGACAATGACAGATATTTTTGAAATTTTAGAGTATCTTGCAGCAGATTAAAATAAAAATGGGAAAATGTATTATATATTTCTTCATATAATTTATTCAAAAGAGGCAGATAATTCATTGTGATTAATTTCTAATTTCTAGTCTTTTTTATAATATTATTTAATGTTAGAATGATTAATATCAAATTCATAAATTTTAGTTTTTCTGATTTTGCTTTAATTTCAGAAAAATAGAATTGAAGTTTATAAAATTATAATACATATCATTTAATTATATATAAATTTTTTATTAGACTCTTGTGTGGTAAATTCAATATACTGTAAAGTGTACTTAAACAGTTGATTCATACTGTTATAAATATTCTATATTAATTAATTTAGGTTTCTTCTCTTGCACTGGATCCAAATGGTGCCCGCTTGATTACCGGAGGGTATGACTATGATGTCAAATTTTGGGATTTTGCAGGAATGGATGCAAGCTACCAGTCATTTCGAAACTTAAGACCATGCGAATGGTGAGAATAAATAAAATTTTAATGTTTATGTTAATAATTTTAATAGGCATCCACAACTGCCATAAATAATCGGGCTATAATTTGGAAATAAATGATTTTGAATTACAAATGCTTCTCTCTAGTGTCAAAATCATTTATTTCCAAATTATAGCCTGACTAATTACAGCAATTGTGGATGTTTATTTGCTATGCATCAGGTTTTGGTTGGTATGCATATTTGAATAATTTTAATGTTTATGTCAAACAGTTAATAAAATTAACATATATAAATTCCGTGTCTGTATTATGTAATGCAGCCATTTTCAATTGAGAATCAAATGGCTTTCTGGAAACCATAGCACATTTAAAGGGTGCCACAGATTAAACACTGTAATATGGAGTCACAAGGTTTATAGGAGTTGTGGAAACTGAATGGATTAAACATTTTTTAGAGGGAATAAAAGGTCTTTGCTACAGGGATAATTATTTTCTTTTTCCTAATTTTAGATAGGAAGTAAGACATTAAGTAATAAAAAGTGCATGAAACAGTCACAAAAATTTATTTACATCAATTAGCATGAATACAAATTCCACATTATTAACATATGCAGGACAAGGTGAAATCTGGAGTCATTTTAAATTGAGTAGATATAATGGGAGGGAATACTATTGATGACTGATGTTTAGAAGGATGAGACACATATCAGACATCATGAACTGAATAAAAGATGTCTGCCTTAGCATCACTGACAGTAAGTTTTTCTCCATGCTTTTTATGAGAAAGGAAGGAAATGATGATGCCCCAGAATGCAATGAAATGAGAAAGACAATTTTCTTTGGACAGTTATCACACCTTGGTATGCAGCAACAGCATCTGGAAATTTTTATCATTTTCTTCAAATAGCTGTCAGAAAAGTTTTTACAATCTTTATGACAATTGAATGTGAATATTGTTTAAGACTATAGAAAAGTTAACTAACTTTTCAGTTTTCTTGAGTAAAACTTCTTTTATTTCAATGTAAAAAAGTTTTATATCAAAATCATGGTAGTTCTTTCAAGTTGAAGACATAAATAAGCTTTTTTGAATAATGGAACTTATTGTAGATGTTATGATAAAAGTGTAGAAGATACTTATCAACTAAATTTGATTGTTTCACTATAGAATTTCAAAAAAGCTTGAGAGGCCATGTCAAAAAAAGTCTGAGAATGGCTGATATAATACATCTATTAGAGTTATTTAGTAGGATAGAAAAGTATTTTATACATTTAATCATTATGAATATTGAAAATTCATTTCATATTTTTCAAACAATCTTTTGAAGAGCATTTTGCTATTTATAAGCTGCTTTTGTATTCTTGCTAAAAAAAGCTACAGAATACCTATTTACCTGTCAACAAATTACTGTATTCTAAATGAAATAAAATAAAATAAACAAAAGTGTCAATTAGGTTATTCAATTTTCATGCATTGCGTATTTGTAAATTGGAGTCACACTACATAATCCATTGAGAAGTGGATTCTGTTACATAATGTGATATTAATAAAATATTAATAAATTTATTTTTATAATATAAAATTTAATTAACATTAATACCTAATGTCAGTATAATTTATATCTTTTTAGCCATCCAATAAAAAATCTTCAATATAGTATAACTGGAGATGCAATATTGGTAATATCTGGAAATGCTCAAGCAAAAGTCTTGGATAGAGATGGATTTGAATTATTCGAGTGTCCTAAAGGAGATCAGTATATCAGAGATATGGCTAAAACTAAGGTAATTTATTATTAGTTTTTATCGTCATGATTAGGTGCATAGATAGACACTGGGCATTTCTACATCATCTTTATTTGGAATACACAACTATAAGTAATTTATTATATTTTTATTTCTGGATGCAATAATTGTATTCGGTAAAATGTAATTTTTTTAATGTTATGAATATAGTGCTGATTTATGTTTATTTGGAAACCTGAAATTTACAATTTAAGATATTGGTTAGTACAAGTTTACTTTGATACTTTTATTAATTGTGCCCACCAATAGCTGAGTAGATAAAACCACAGAACACTGTTGTTGGTTGTAGATTTGCATCTGACTGTGTGGAGTTTTCTGAGTTTTCTTTACTTGTTTAAAACCTAAATAGAGGTCAGCATTTCACAGAAAGTTCTCCCAAAAATATCTTTGCTTGGCAGATTGCCCAAATTTTGCATTGCATTATTCTGTCAACCCCTAATATTAATTGATCTTAAAGTAGAGACTCTATACAATAGAAATATTTATCTTACTTCAATAGTTTCACAATATGTATCCTAGCTTTGTATTTCTCTGATATACTATCTTTGTGTGAATGTAAGAAATTATTATGATATAAATGGATTTTTTACAATTTATTATTCTATAGTTTTATGTAAGCCTTCTGACTGTCAGCCCAGGTGCTCCAGGCCTCATTATTTATTACTTGTCTGCTTCCATTGTAAGCCTGGCTAAACCTGTGATGGGCATGGCAGAAAATGTCCTCTTGTGATAAGGTGATTCAAATAGAATAAGTTAGGACCATTCTTTTTTTTTCATCAGAAGTGTTGTATGCTTATTAAAGCCAGATGTCTATAAATCTGCTGTTCCTAACATAAAAACAGATGCTATTAGGGAGGATGCATGCAAGTGGCACAGCTTGAAAAGTGATGTTGCAAATGTATCTTTTTCATATGGCTTCACAAGCACACAATCAGCAAACTGATTAGGTTTGGCGTATGCATACAATATTTGAGGTGGTGAATGACATCCCTGTTATCATTGCATTTACAAATTCTGTTTTGTACAGTTTGTTTTATTTAGCTAGAAGATTTGACTGAAGATTTTGGATTAGAAATAATTTCTTAATAAAGAAAGAACTGGTGTGCAAAATACACTTATTCCTAGATTATGATCTTTCAACAAAGAATACTATTTCAAGTAAGATTTGTTTCTTTTGTCCTTTGAATTAAGTTATGTATGATTATTTGTGTTAAATTTTTTATCCTCCTTTTTTTAATGTTGGTTATCTTAGTTAACTGCATTGAACTTCCTCCATTAAAACAACATCTGATTTTATGTTCTCACGTGACTGTGAAATGAATCATTATTAGTGTGAGATCAGGGGATTCCAGATTAATTCCTTTTCCATGTACAGGATGGAAATATTAAATTTAAGGAAGATCAGTAATATCTTTCTTCCTCTGTACTGATACCAGTTGAGAAAAAAAAAGGGTCATGTCTCAATTTGCAAATTCTATTATCTTCTGAGTGGCTGAAGATATAATAATAATTTGACTGGAATTTTAGGAGGGTTTATTAATTAAGAACGAAAGCCGAGGAGTTAGGCATAAAAACAACAATAATTTAAGAATTATAACCAACATATTTATTTAACAAAGTAATATAGAAATTTGATTTAACCAAAATGAATACAAAATTGTAATCTCAAGTTTAAATTATAAGAGGATTTTTAAGTTTAACTCACTGATCTAACAAGAGAGAGCATTTACATTCAAAGGTATATTACCTTAAATTGTAGTATGATGCTTTCTAACTCAGCAAGATCATTGAGAGGATTGGTGAATGCAGGAGGACTTCACAGGAGCACCTTTCTTTAATTTGTGTCAAGAACTTCAAATGAACAAGAAGTACACGAGAGAGGAAGCAAGAGCCAGCTTTTTGGAGGTTACCTCTCACTTTTATAAAGAAATTCTCTCCAATAAGAATGGAAGACAATTTCTCCACGCTTCTGACGCGTGATGGAAGCTGGGTGAGTTTTGTGGTGGGATGTATCAAGATGTCACGTTTGCTATCACTTTTGTTTGCTATCTTTCTCTAACAGAAAGTTCACTTTCCCTCGTTAGTGTATTGTTCTCGAAAACAAGTAAAATTTAATTATTATTTGCAACAAAAATATTACAGAATCTACTTGAATCAAATCAATAACTCCAGATTCTCACATTAGCTAATAAAAACATGTCTTGGTAGTGATGGTCGCAAAAGACAGAATTCAGTTGACTTTGGTGGCACAAGAAAAGAGCACAAAATTGACTTCTATGGCAAAAAAATGATGTTATTCTGTTGCTTTTTGTTGTTGTGCCGCATGTGTGCATCCATCCAAAAGCAGCTGCTTACTCTAAATCAAATGCTGCCTTAGGGTCACACTCAGCTTCATTTTTTTTCCATTGAACTAGCATGGACAGCTTTATTGGAAGTTTACACTTCAATTGCATTGTTCTACAGTTCATTGGAACTAGCTCTCCTTGACAAGGTTGTGAGAACTCTTATTTATAATAATTATTTTTAAATTCTATAAATTTGGCCTTATTATTGGTATTGTTTAGGAGTATCTGTCAGTGCTGTGTCTTTGTTAATAACTTATTTCTTTTTTATAGGTAAGCAATTTGCTTATTTTTCGTTTATTTTTATTGGCTTTTTTGTATTTTATTGACAGATGCTCCCAAACTTTAACTTTAAACTTTAATTAATTATTATATTTTAATTTTAACCTTTACCTTAATTTAAATTGTTGTTTATATAATTTATTATTGTATAATTTTGTTTGTGACCTTATGTTCATTGTATCTAAGTATTGTTTTGTTTTTTTTTGTGGAGGAGATGGTATTGCTCCCCGCATCAAGGAGTGTATCCAGTATGCATATTAAATAAAAATAAAAATAAAATAAAAAATTATTTTTAAATTAAGATTAGATTATTAAAAGTAAATCATGAATAAGAAAAATCAAGCACTCAATTAATAATATTTGTTCCTTGAATTATATGTGAATATTAAAATTTCAAAATAATTTGAACGTTTCTTTCATATTTAACTACACATGACTAAGTTATATTTTATAATAATAAATACCAAAATAAATTCTGTAGTATGCTTCTTGCCTAGTCTTGTATTTAATTTTACGAGATCTATGACAGCTTTTCTTTTCCACTAGACTTGTTACACCATCAATTAGAAACAGGACAAGCTTTAGAAAATCACATTTTTATTTCTTAGAGTNTAATAATAAATATCAAAATAAATTCTGTAGTATGCTTCTTGCCTAGTCTTGTATTTAATTTTACGAGATCTATGACAGCTTTTCTTTTCCACTAGACTTGTTACACCATCAATTAGAAACAGGACAAGCTTTAGAAAATCACATTTTTATTTCTTAGAGTATGCATTTCAGACTTTGAGTGCCTTATCAAATCTCTGTGAATGGTTATGAGAAGCACAGAAATGGTGATGATTGATAAAATACAGATGATAATTATTAATCTACAGGTAATTGAGTAGATATGATGGTATGATATATAAAGTAGTAATAGCAGTGAGAGGCAAACAATATATATAATAAAGTACACTGTTAAAACCATAACATTTAAAACTGCGACATTGCAAACTGTTTTACCATTAAAACAATAAAATAGAATGATGAAGTAAAAAACATGTGCACCATTAAAACAATAAGATTATAAACTTATTTACAGTAGAATCTTAATACGATGAAATAATTTTACTGTAAATAAGTTTATAATCTTATTGTTTTACTTCATCTTTCTATTTTATTGTTTTAATGATAAAACACTTTTAAATGTTATGGTTTTAACAGTGTACTTATTATGCATATTTTTTGCCTTTCACTGCTATTACTACTTTATGTATCATACCATCATATCTACTCAATTACCTGTAAATTAATAATTATCATCTGTATTTTATCAATCATCACTATTTCTGTGCTACTCATAACCATTTACATCACAGAAAGNAAAAATAATATATTATGTATCACAAACTAATAGTATTAAAAAATTATTAGATAAAAAATGTTCCTTGCAACAATCACAACTTTATTATACATTTTTTCTTTTAGGTTTTTTTTTCTTTAATTTAAAGTTACAATATGTAAAATTAACAATACGGTTACTTACTAAATTTCTTAAATGAGGGGTACAATAGAGATATGACACGTCACGGGGTACAATCTAGAGATATGACATGTCACGGGGTACAATCTAGAGATATGACATGTCACGGGGTACGGTAATGAAAAAAGGTTGGGAACCACTGTCTTAGAGTATGCATTTCAGACTTTGAGTGCCTTATCAAATCTCTGTGAATGGTTATGAGAAGCACAGAAATGGTGACGATTGATCAAATACAGATGATAACTATTAATTTACAGGTAATTGAGTAGTTATATAAAGTTGTAATAGCAGTGAGAGACAAACAATATGTATAATAAAGTACACTATTAAAACCATAACATTTAAAACTGTGACATTGCAAACTGTTTTACCATTAAAACAATAAAATAGAATGATGAAGTAAAAAACATGTGCACCATTAAAACAATAAGATTATAAACTTATTTACAGTAGAATCTTAATACGATGAAATAATTTTACTGTAAATAAGTTTATAATCTTATTGTTTTACTTCATCTTTCTATTTTATTGTTTTAATGGTAAAACAATTTTAAATGTTATGGTTTTAACAGTGTACTTATTATGCATATTTTTTGCCTTTCACTGCTATTACTACTTTATGTATCATACCATCATATCTACTCAATTACCTGTAAATTAATAATTATCATCTGTATTTTATCAATCATCACTATTTCTGTGCTACTCATAACCATTTACATCACAGAAAGTTGATAAGGGACTTGAAGTCTGAAATGCATACTCTAGAACAGTGGTTCCCAACCTTTTTTCATTAGCGTACCCCGTGACATGTCATATCTCTAGATTGTACCCCTCATTTAAGAAATTTAGTGAGTACCCATATTGTTAATTTTACATATTGTAACTTTAAATTAAAGAAAAAAAAACTAAATGAAAAAATGTATAATAAAGTTGTGATTGTTGCAAGGAACATTTTTTACCTAATAATTTTTTAATACTATTAGTTTGTGATACATAATATATTATTTTTTCTGCCATAATAACTAACTTTTTTCTGTACCCCTAAACAACCTAT